ACCCTGGGCGGCCGCAAGTGTCCCTCTCCACCGCCTTCCCTGCTGCCCCACTTCCGCCAAGCAGGTGGGCAGCCTGCTTGTGCAGGGGGGGTGGGGGGGAGCAGCAGCGGGCCCCGCAGCTGGCGGTGCCGGGACGCGAGGCATCAGCATCAGCATCACCAGCAGCAAGCATCAGCAGCAGATCGGTGGCCGGCGGCAGCCTGTGCCCTGCCGCAGCCGCGGCACCGCTGGCTGGGGCCCCGCACGTGCCCTCTGCCATGCGGTCGCGGTGCTACCTCGTGCCGCCATCCCCGCCTCATGGCAGCCCTCGCTGCGCTGCTGCCGGCTCTGCAGCCCCCTCAGGCCCCAAGCTCAACCTGCGAGTGGCGGGGTTCAGGACGGCGGCCGAGGCGGCGGGCGCAGCAGACCTCCTGCTGCTCTGGAGAAGGTGGGTCGGGCGGGGGCCTGCTGCGCTGCGCTGTGCTGTGCTGCGCGCCGCTCTGCAGCCGGCCCCGCGTGCCCGCCGTGCAGCGTGCAGCGCTGGCCCGCTGCGCTGCCGGCTTGTCGGCGGCATCCCTGCGCGCCCTGGCCCGGCCTTCCGCCTGGCCTGCCCACGTCGCGGCCGCGCGCCTCTGTGTGCCGCGCAGCGCCGCCTACGGCCGCAGCGCCGCCGGGATCCGCCTCAACTTTGAGGCGGCGCGGTACGGCCATGGCCGCCTGGGGCAGCTGCACAGGGCCCTGCTGGCGCTGCTGAATCCAGAGGTGGGCCGTGCCGCACACGCGCGCAACGAGGCTGTGTGGCGTGTGTGTGTGTGTGTGTGATGTGTAGGAAGGGCTGGGGCAGGGGGCTGGAGACCTGAGGCCTGCAGATGCTCCTGCGCCCGCCCGCCCGCCAGGCAGGCAGGCAGCCGCTGCCGCCGCTGCCGCTGCTGCTGCACGCGCGTCGCGCTGGCGCCCTTCCCTCCTTGCTTCTGTGCACACACCTCCTGCCCTGGCTTGGATGTTGCAGGAGGCCAGGGACCGGCTCAAGGTGGCGAGGGATGAGGGCATCTTTGCGGCAGAGGCAGACACCACAGCTGCAGCAGCAATAGCAGGAGCAGAGCCCACCAGCAGCGGCAGCGATGAGCACGTCGGCGGCGGCAGGGGCCGGGGCGGCGGCCAGGGCGGGCGCGGCGGCCGGGGCCGGGGCCGGGGCAGAGGAGGGCGGGGCGGCAGGGGCGGGCGCGGCGGCAGGGGGCGCAGCAACAAGCAGCCGCCGCCGGCGCCGCCCAGCAGCCCAGGCTCCACCCTCCTCTCATCAGAAGAGGAGGAGGAGGAGGAAGAGGCAGCGGCGCCTGCCCCAGCAGCGACCGCGCGGGGCGGCCGTGCCGGCGTGCGGCCCGCTGCCCTGGGCGCGGCACCGCCGTCTGGGCAGCGCTACGGCACCGAGGTTGTGGGGCAGCGTGTGCGGGTGTACTGGTCCAAAGAGGCGGAGTGGTATGGCGGTACCGTGGTGGCCTACAAGCAGGACAAGGGCAAGCACAACATCGGTGCGCCCGGCTGGGAAGAAAGAGCAGGGTTGGGGCCTGCCAGGGAACTGTGCAGCGCTGCCTGCCTGGCGGGCAGCTGCCCTGTTTGCCTGTGTGAGGAGCTGCCTGATACCCCAAATGCTCCTGAGCTCTTCTCGAGGGCTGTCGGCACCTGCCCCCACCTGCACGGTCCCGCCCTCGCGCACTGCCACCCACGCGCGGTGCGCCGCCCTGCCGCCCCCGCCTGCCTGGCGCGCAGCGTACGACGACGGCGACAAGCAGCTGCTTGACCTGTCAAAGGAGAGGCTGGAGTGGGGGGGGGAGCCAAGCGAGGAGGAGCAGGAGGAGGAGCAGGAGGAGGAAGAGGAGGAGGAGGAGGAGGAGGAGGAGGAGGAAAATGGCCCGACGGCAGCGCGGCTCCATCTCGCCACCACCGCCGACGCCCCCGCCCGCCCCGTGTCTGCGGCCGCGGTGCTGCACGCCGCGCAGGCGGTGCGGGAGAGCGCGGAGCAGATGAGCGCTGCGCTGCAGGAGGCGCTGAGCGGTACGCCGGGCATGCGGCAGCGGGACGTGGTCGCCTTCCTGGCCAGGTGCGCAGATTGGTGCTGATACCTGAAACCTGCGGTGGCGGTGGTTTGCGCGCGGCGGCGGCCGCTGGCGGGCCTGCATGGGCGGCACCGCGCGGGCTGCGCAGCGCCTGGCATGGGGAACGGCGGAGCGGGCGCCGCTGGCTCCGTTGGTGCAGCCGCGCAGGCCCCGTGTGGCCGCTCGGGCCGCGGGCGCAATCCAGACTACTGAACAGCCGTGCACGCCCCAGTCGCCCGCGTCCGCGTCGGCCCGCTGCATCCCGCAGGTTCTGGGAGCTGCGGGACCTCAAGCGCATGGTGTTCATGTCGCTGATGCGGCACCACGCCGCCGGCCGCCACGACCTGCTGCGCACCGCCGTCTGGCACTTCACGAGCGCCTCGTGAGGGCCAGCCTCGCGGCTGCCCGGGCGGCTGCCCGGGCGGCTGCGGGCTGCTGGCCGCTCGCCAGGCAGCTTAGCATGACTAGCTAGTGGGCCGCGAAACATGATGGCTAGCGCCCGGCGCGACGGCGCACCCCGACACGACCCTTGTTGGCCCACCCAGTACCGACAGCTGACGACAGACTGCTACCAACGCATGGCCCCACCCTCCCTGACCTGCTGCACTTGATTCCTCATCCACATGGATGTGCTGTGTGCCACCATCCCCTCCTCTCTCTGTGCAATACACAGGACTGTTAACAAACGTCGCAAGAACAAAGACTGGAAGAGGCCGATAGTAGGTGTGCAATGTGCCAGACAAGACAACACTTTTCACTTCGGAAGCAGAGATACAATACAACCGAGAAGGCTGGATACTAGAGCAGCTGAGGCATGCCGCCCATCAAGCTCAGCCAGCGGCTGCTCCTGCACCACACCAGAGGGTGCAGGATTGACAGCAGGCAAGGCGCCGTAATGGACAGGCATGTATGTTGGTACACCGTCACTCCGACTAAAGCGAGCGGATCTTCATCCAAGGAGGGAAAAAGTAGTAAGTGAACAAAAGTGAAAAGTAGGATGAGCGATCTGTTGGACAAGTGCTGATTCACCGGTAAAGCGCTACAGGTTCCTACCTGCGGCAGCTGCGCAAGCCACTGCTGTTGAGTTTCATAATGGAAGAAAGGTAGTCGTGAAAAGGGTAGTGGACAAAGCTGATGCAGTGCATTGCCGGCACGCAAGCGGCCACACACATCAGCGTTGAATGCTAACGCAAGAGGTATTGCTAGGGAAAAAGTGCGGCCAGCGCACAACTGGCCAGCTGCGCAAGTGGTAGGGTCGCGGCAGCGGAAAAAGGCGGGAAAAAACTTGCAGTACGACGATCTAGTGAAAAAGTGCTGCTGCTTGCCGGTGGCACTCCTGTACTTTTACTTGCTGTGCTGTGCTGCGCTATACGCCCGAGGGCGACAGCTGTGCAAGGGGCAGGGCGGTGTCGGCCGGCGAGGCGGCGCCCCCGGGCTTCATCTTCAGCACCAGGCGCTTGCGGGCCCCGCTGCACGTCAGCGTCTCGCAGCACTTGACCAGGGCGCCATACGCCCGGTTCTTGTACGGGTCGATGAAGCGCCGCCACTTGGGCGTCAGGTGGAAGGGCCAGCCGTAGATCTGAACAATTCAAGGACAGCAGGGCCGGCGGTTAGGGGAGCCTGCTAGAGTGGGAGTCGCACTCGACAGCTGCAGCCAGCCCGCCAGCCCGCCAGGCAGCCCAGTCCAGCCAGCAGCTGCAGCGCTCACCCGCTCCTTGGTCTCATCCTCCCACCAGTCGCCGGCCGGGCTGCGCAGCAGGGCGGCGGCAGGGCGCGGCAGTGGGGCAAGCACGCAACGCCCGCCCGGCCCGGCCCGGCACTCTAGAGCAGGCAATACGTGCACGGCAGGCGGGCGCCTCGCGGGCCGCGGCTCACCCCTGGCGCTGCCACGCCTCCTGGGTGCGCTCGCGGCGGCCCTTGGGGATGGTCAGGTCCAGCAGCAGGCAAGCCATGAGGGCCACGGCGGCCGGGGTGGAGAAGAGGGAGTTGAGGATGCTGTTGAAGGTGTCGCTGCCAGTGTTGACCGGGCCGTGGCCGTTGGCGGTGGTGTAGGTGGAGAAGTAGTTTGGAATGGACAGGCCTGCAGCGGTGCGAGGCCCGCGGGCGGCGCGGGAGGCGGCGCGTGAGGCGCCGGCCGAGGAGGCGCGCGCCTGCTCCGCGCGCGCAGCAGCGGCAGGCCCCGCACCGTTGCGCCGGCGGCGGCAGCGCGGCGGCAGAGAGCAGGCGGGGCGCGCCTGAGTAGAGGCCGAAGCCCAGGATGAAGATGTTGCGCTCCGAGTGAAGGTCCACGCCCTCCAGGTTGGAGAAGCCGACGCCCGCAATCAGGCTGCACGCCGAGGGCGGCGAGGGGCGGGGGCGGCGCCCGCTGAGCGAGCGCGCAGGGGCAGCAGCACCCAGCAGGGGCCAGCAGCACCCAGCAGCAGCCAGCAGCACCCAGCAGGGCTGCAAACCGGCATGCGCCGCACCTGAACATGACTGTGAACATGCCGGCCACCATCGCCTGCGGAATCGACGCAAACAGGGCCCCAAACTTGCCGATGGTGCCCAGGATGATCATGACGACCGCGCCGGTCTGGGTGACCCGCCGGGAGGCGACCCCGGTGATGGCGATGGAGCCCACATTCTCTGCAAACACAGGTGAGCAAGACGAAGTTGATTTATTGTTCAAAGAAGAAGACGCAGAACAACTGTTTGTTGCTGCAAGCGGATGTGGGTCCTGCTGCCGCGCGCCGCCGCCGCCGCTGCCCACCCACCGGCATACGCGGTGGAGCCCGAGGTGGTGCCAAACAGGCCGGAGATGGTGCAGCATAGCGACTCCACCATCAGCGCCCGGCTGATCACGTCCCTGGGGGGCTGCGGGGCGCCGCCCAGGCGGGCGGCCGCGTAGTAGTCGCCTGAGGCGGAGCGGGGAGGGGCAAGGCAGGGCAAGGCAGGGCAAGGCACGCAATCAACAGGGCCACGCGTGTACGCAAGCGAGCGTTTTTGAAACCGCGGGCTGCCGTCGCGGCTGCCGGGCGCCAGCGCCGAGCGCACGGCGGCGTGGCGTTGTGCGCGCACCGATGGACTCGAGGGCGGCGGGGATGACGGCGGCAATCATGGTCAGCACGCTGGTTGCGGTGAAGATGGGGGAGCCCCACTGGCCTGGGTAGGGCACGCGGAACCAGGGCGCCACGCTGAGGATGTAGTCTGAGTTGGACTGCCAGGTCGTGCAGGCTTGCTGCGGGGGCGGACGGGGGCAGCGGCGTCGCGGGCGCGGCGCAGGGAGGGCGGGCATGGTGAGGCAGATGGGCGCTGACAAACCCGGGGGCCGAACAGCTCGATTCCGCGCTGCTGCGCCCGCCGGCGTGCGGGATGGCGCGGAGGGGTGGGGACGGCAGGGCAGGCGAGCCCGGCAGGCACTGGGACGCCACCGCCCAGCCACCTTCCACCCACCTGGGTCTCCGGCGATGCGTTGTCATAGGCGCCAGCCACCGTGGCGATGTAGGCGTACAGCCAGGTGAGGCCCAGGCCCAGGATGACGGGGAACAGGCCAAACACCGCCAGCCTGCGCACGGCAAGCGTCGGTACCGGGTGGGCGGGGCGGACAGGGGGCGAGGGAGCGAGGGAACTGTGCGACTGGCCATGCAGGCGTGGCATGTGCGACCCGGGTGCAAGGCCAAGCGCGGCTGCCAGCTGGGTCTCACCCGAATATCTTCACCCGCCTCAGGTGGAAGGCGAAGAAGATGATGAGGCACATGACGGGCAGGCCCAGCTGCAGCGGGTGAAGATATTCGGGTGAGACAAACAAAACATTCACATTCATATCAACATTCATTACACACATTCATATTTCATATCCATTGGATTCCAAAATCAAAAACTGCTTTGCTTGCCTGGATGCAGTTGCCCATCACTGGCCACCCAGCGGAGTAGAGCGACAGTCCCAGGATGGAAATGTTGACGCCAATAGTGATGGGGGACAGGTGCCTGCGGCGCAGCGAGCAGGGCAGGGCAGCCAGCCAGGCAGAGGTCATGAGGTAGGCAAAGCCAGGGGGGAGCTTGACCGGCGCTGCCGTGTGCTCGAGAGACGCGCGGCGTCACCGTCCGGGCGCGCGATAGCACGCAAGGCGGGCAGGGCAGGCGGGCGGGGCAGGGCTGGGCGGCGGCGCACTGGAGCATCCAGAGGAAGATCCCGAAGAGGGCCAGGCCGAGGGCGATGAGCGCAGAGCCGATGATGCCGCCCTGCAGCTCGCGCATCGTGTACTGCACGGCCGGGAGGCGGTACACATAGCCCCAGGATGAGCACGCACGCACGCACGGCAGAAGTAGTGAGGGGGAGGGCAGGTGCCTCCCTCCCGCCTGGCCTGCACTTCCCGGCGGGCGCGGCGCGGGTGCTCACGATGAAGCGGTCGTGGTCGCTGTCAAAGGTCATGCTGCCCTGGATGGAGGCAGCCAGGGCGAAGACTGGCGAGATGTAGGCAAAGGAACCGCCCTGCAGCAGGGCGCAGGTGCGGCGCTTGAGCGCGAGGCGTGAGGCGTGAGCATGGAGCGCAAGTGCAGCCGGCAGCTGCGCTGCCCGGCGGCGACGCGGCAGCCGGCGACGCGCCTGCACGATGGGCAGGCGCGCCCCCAGCAGCGTCTGCAGCAGGGTGTTGATGCCCGAGGCGAAGAAGCAGGTACAGATGGTCTTGGCCAGGTCTGCGCAGGGGCGGCCGTGGGTTGTGGGTCAGCAGCGGGGCGAGCGGTGCAAGGGGCGCTTCAGCAAGACCCCGTACCTTCTGTGTCGCCGCCCATGGCGGGGACCAGCAGGATGGGGATGAGCACCGTGGCGCCCAGCATGGTGAGGTAGGTCTGGAAGCCCAGCAGGATGCACATCCACCAGGGCGGCACGTCGGTGACGCCGTAGCGCACTGTGCGGGTGGGCGGGCGGCAGGTAGGGTTTGGGCTGCCGGCTGTGGGCGATTTGGGTTTGCCATGCAAGTTGGGGAATGCCAGAGCCTGGGATGCCAGTTGCAGGCAGCATGGGTTTGGAGTAATGGTTGCATGCATGCCGGGCACATGCTTGCTGCAAAACAATTTGCCGCCAACCCGACGCCTTGTGTAAGCCGCCTCACGGGGCGGGAGGCTCCCTAGCAGCGTGGCCGCTGCACCGGGGGTGCTTGCAGCCCTGCTACAGCCTCCATGGCATCGAAGCAGGCCCTGTAAACGCACCTCGCCGCTCGTCGGCGAGTTCCGAGGGTGTCTGGCCCTGGCTCTCAGAGAGCGCGCAGGCCAGGTCCTGCTCGCCAACACTGCCCTTCTTCATGTCGGCCGTGCCGTTGATCTCCACAGCTTCGCTTGAGAGGCCCCTCTCAGCGCCCTCCCACCTAGTGTCTGTCATTCAGGCCTTTCGAAACGCGTGTCTGCGTCGATAACAGCCGGCAAGGCTTCACAATGCAAAACAAGCAGGTTGAAGGCTGCAATTCAGAAGAAGAAGAAGAAGGCGAAACCCTCATGTGTTGCCCCCTGATGTGGCACCCTCCCGATTGGGCAACCCCCGCCCCCGCTCGCTCCTGGCAGCCCGCGCGGCGCTCCCCTCCCATACGTGAACTGACCCCATAGAGCCATGTTTGAGGGTTGAGCGGGGCGGAGCGGGGCTGCTTGCACACGTGATGGCATGCACGCTTCAACGCTCCCGCTGTCATCTCACCTCTCTAGCGTCAGAAATACAACTCTTACAAGCCAACCAACACGAACAGAGAGACCGAACAACAGAAATGAACAGGAAATATGAAGCCGCCACAGGCGGCAGCACCTTTCAGCGGAGACGGCAAAGCGTACAAGGCACACTTCTTCAATGGTTCTTGCAATTGCCACCCTTACCGGTTATACAGCCACAGTGCCGCCCACACCGCGCACCATTCTTCTTGCAGCTGCAGTTCCGGGTGCAGGCGCCGCGGCAGCCGCAGCGCACGGCTGCCTTGCCGCCGCCGGGCTGCGCCGCCATCGCCACATTGAGAGACACCACAGGCACTCCTCGCTGCGCCGTGCCGCTGAAGGTCAGCTCGCTGGCCAGGCTGGGTGGCGCCTTAGATAGCCTGCTGGCCTGATGCATACCCTCCACCACTCCAGCTCCGCTCCGCAGCCGGTAC